CTACTACTACTACTACTAGTAAGTACTACTACTCCTGGCGCTACTGCTGCAAAGGAAGCCCGGACAACCGCTCCTCGCATGCCTGGGGCTCCTGGAGCCATCCAGAGTTCTCTTTTTGTTCCCGGAAGAAGTTAGGGTTTAGGGTTTAGGGTTAGGGTTTAGGGTTTAGGGTTTAGGGTTTAGGGTTTAGGGTTTAGGGTTTAGGGTTTAGGGTCTGTTCTTCTACCAGGGGTCCCATAGCCAGTCATGAAGGTTGCTTAAGTTGTACAGGACTTCGTATCGGGATGTAAGGAGCATCTCTTCATTAAGTCACTTTTGCCTCTTCAGGCACCATCCCCTTTGCCTGCCTCGTCATATTCCGCATAATGGCAGAGCCCCACAATCCCCCGAGGTGCTGCGTAAAAGCTTCGAAACCCAGAGTTGCCTCAAAGCCGCCCAGTCCACTGGGGATCGTGGCAAGGAATCCTGAGCCAGCGAGCGTCCGGGGGATGGGGGAAAGCATCTGAACCCTGGGTTCCGAAACTGCACAGCCCCAGAAGCAAAGACCCCCAAAAACCACTCAACAAGAAAACTCCAGAGAGAGCGCAAGACTCCTCACCTAAGGAATATATCTTCAGTCTGAAATCACCAATGGTTCATCAGCAAGGGCTTTGATATTGTGATCTCTTGGGGGCTTGGGGCCGATGTCTAGGTACCCAGTAGCCCCTTAAGGATAAGGGCAGCCTTTTTCCTACTGTTTGGTTTTAACAGGGAACCCGAAAAGAAAAAGGGCAAAAGGGTACTACTGGGGAACCTAGATCTTGATTTTCAGTTCTCAAACCAGCTCAGCGGCACAGCTTGGGTCCTGTCCTCGGCTGGCGTCGCAAGGATGTACGATGAGTTTACTGGTTCCCTGTTGGGGCTATATTCAACATGATAATCGTTTAACTCTTACAAGGACCCAGGTTAGGGCTTAGGCTAGGGCTGAGCTGAGCGCCTGGAGCTTTCTAGTTTGGGGCTTTGGGGTTTAGGCCTTCTACACTATTTCATGAGCATAAACAAACAAGCAAGCTGTTGAATAAAGTAGACGAGTGTCGAACTTCTACGTCCGCGAACTTGCCGCCAGAGAGCACCTTCAAACTCTCTCGGTCTCTGGGGGGAGTCGCTGGGTAAGTGTCAGTGAGCTTCATAAAGCACATTGGCCCCTAATGTGGGCCCCTAGCGCCAGGACCCTGCAAGGACCAACACAGGACCTCTGATTTTCAGAACCCGGTCCTCGGACCCCCACGTCCCAACAATGTCTGAGCCAGGCGACATTCCAGGCGGGCCATGCCATGGGATATGTCCTGAGATCTGAGGTAAACCAACCGCCTATGCATGGCTTCGAAGAACAAGGAGACCCGCAACACAAAGTCTGTCTGGTGCTTAGTAGGGAATGGGGGGAATGGATCCCTATGATACTCCCTTAAGGTCCCTTATAGTAGTCCCTATAACCCATTCCCCCCATTCCCTACCCAGACCACCGGGAGGACCTAAAAAAATAGATTCCCTAATTTGGGACCTTAACTACTAAAGGGTACTTTATAGGAACCCCTTAGGGGATCTATTTTTTGGATCCTCCCGGTGGTCTGGGCCTAAACCGTAAACCCCTAAACCCCTAAACCCCTCAACCCTAAACCCCTGAACCCCTAAACCCCTAAACCCCTAAACCCTAAAACCCCAAACCCCAAACCCTAAATCCCTAGAGCCCATTCCCAATTTTAGCAGCAGACAGAAGTGCGGCCGTAGCGGCCATCTGGAGCTCTCTTGGCAGAGCCCGGTGGCCAGCAGAGTCAAGGCGACCTGCAGGGCGACATCTGGCGGACATGCTTCCGGGTTTAAGGCTTAGGGTTGAGGGTTAAGGGTTGAGGGGTTTAGGGTTTAGGATTTAAGGCTTAGGGTTTAGGGTTGAGGGTTTAGGGTTCAGGGTTGAGGGTTCAGGGTTGAGGGTTCAGGGTTTAGGGTTCAGGGTTTAGGGTTTAGGGTAGCGGACAAGCACTTTCTGCTTTGAGCGCTCCTGTCAAGTCTGTTGTTCTTAGTACTCTAAACAATGAAGTTCATGTCGAAACCTGATCAAGCCCGGCCGCAAAACTGGAGCGACCGACATAGCCGAGCCTTCGTCAGGGTCATGGCCACACCTTCGCGGCCAGCGCCAGTAAGATCGCGCTGCGTTGAGTGGATCCAGGCTCTTTGGTTTTTCGCGGGTTTAAGTCTTTTGACTTAGGAGGCTTGAAACAAAATTAGGGCTTTCGTCGAGTGAGCCCGGAGCAGGTTTAGGCTGTAGGACTTTACATGCCTTATTCTGCGGCCTTCGTGTGTTGAGGAAAATGCAGATCTTAAGCGGTATCAGCCAAAAAAGGAGAGCCGTAAACCTGACTCTAAGCTACTTGCCAAGTGTCATGACCGTTTAATAAAAATTAGAATAAGGGTTTGGGTTCCCTCATAAAAAAGGCTATAAGGCATATTATTACTAGTCATTCAGACTGGTGTAGTAGCAGGGAATGGGGGAATGGGTTATAGGGACTACTATAAGGGACCTTAAGGGAATATCATAGGGATCCATTCCCCCATTCCTTACTAAGCACCAGACAGTCATTCGGACTGGTGTATTCGCCGGGTTTTGGGCTGGCTGACTCAAGCTTTCAGAGCCCGGCTGCAGCTGACAGCGCCAACAAGGTTCCCAGCAGTAGTTTTTGGGGCCTTAGTACTTAGAATAGGGTTTTGGGGGTTCCTTTAAAGGGCTCCTTAAAGGGTTCTGCAAGGGTTTAGGGTTTAGGGCCCTTAGTAATTAGAATAGGGTTTTGGGGCCCATTATACTATAATTAAAACCAGGAACCCCCCAAAATAGTATTGGAAAGTATCTAGGCTTCTACATGAATCTCTTGGCGGTCGCAACACTGAAAGTGCAGCGTCTAGGGTTGGAGGTGATGGGAATACCAGCAATGCTGAACATCGTGTTCACAAAGTTTCGTCGTAATATCGATATTTGCCTATATTACTTTGGGGGTTCCTTATTATAACTATACTATAAAAGGACCCCAAAACCCTAGTCTAATTATTGAGGCCACTACATTAACCATATGAAGGGTTCAGGGTCGCCCCCCAAAAGAAGCAGGAGCCTGAAGAGGCAAAGCCGGGCGTGCCCAAGAAGATCGAAGAAGCTGCCAACTGATGTCTTCAGCTTAGGGTTCAGGGTTTAGGGTTTAGAGTTTTGGGTTTAGAGTTTTGGGTTTAGGGTTTAGGGTTTGGCTTGCAAGTATGACAGCGACACGAGCATCCCACGGCATCTGGAATTTTCGGGTTTCTTCTACGATAGCAATATTGGAAGATGATAAGGGGGTAGCACTAATTTGGAGGCCTTAATAATTGAACAGGGTTTTGGCGCCCGTTATACTATAATTATAGTAAGGAACTCCAAACATACTCTAGGTAGTTATGAAGGCCCCTATGCTAAGTGATCCCAAAACCCTAAAGCCTAAAGCCTAAACCCTCTCCAGCGATGCAAGAAAATCCGAGCGCCCAGCAGGAATCCTTCTGGGCCAAAGGCTCAAAGTAGCTTCATTCCTTAGCCCCAAAAGGGATTTTGGGGCTGAAGACATCATTTCTTCAAAGCAAGAAGTGTTATGTTAGGGGTTTAGGGGCTCAGGGCTTGGAGTTTGCGGCACATTCAGCTGCCCGGACCAAACCCTCTGGGCTTGCTGAGCCCTGGAAGTATTTGGGACGGTGGGCTCTAGAACTGAATGGCCCCCAAAGAGCCAAAAACCTAGAACGTCCGATCTGCCAGCTACATCGCCTTTAGCCTACTAGGCACCTGCTAGGTCCCCCAGTCTGACTCTGCACATGAAGAAACCAGGATGCTGAATGCCATAGTTTCACCTGAGCCTCACTGCTCGATGCATTGCTCGAACCAGTAATGTAGGGGCCTTTTTTTTTTACTAGGGTTTTGGGGCCCATTCTACTACACTTATAATGAGGACCCCCCCAAAAAAATAGTACAATAGGTACTTATTTAGGCCCCCCAAAATAAGCTGCTAACCCCTGCCCCCGACCCCAAGCTCTTCAACCGCGGCGCAGCTGCGCGCGCCCATTCTCGAAATGCCTGTGCAGCGTGGGAAGCTCGGCTTGTTATCCCAGGGGCTCCTGCTGGGTTCTTGTTAAGGACTTTAATAGATCCCTTTTTGTAGCAACTTAAACTGAATCCCTTAACAAGAACCCAGCCTGGGTCTTGTGGCTTGCACTTTAGGGCCCGATCCAAAGTCTTGAAGATGTTCTAGACTTCAGGGTTTTCAATGCTTTCACCCTAACCCTCCAGGTACCTACTATATAGGGGGTCTAGGGGCTCTAGTACCTATATAGTAGGTACCTGGGGGGTTAGGTTCAAGCTTCCCTAAACCCTAAACCGTAGTAGGTACCTGGACGGTTAGGTTCAAGCTTCAAGAATATCTGCAACCCACCTGGAGTTCCCTGGCTGCCTCTTTTCAGCTGATACAGCGTCCGAACCCCAGACCACCGGGAGGATCTAAAAAATAGATCCCCTAAGGGGGTTCCTATGAAGTACCCTTTAGTGGTTGGGGTCCCGAATTAGGGGATCTACACCCTAAACCCTAAACCCTAAACCCTATACCCTAAACCCTATACCCTAAACCCTAAACCCTAAACCCTAAACCCAAATTAGGGGATCTACTTTTTNNTTTTAGATCCTCCCGGTGGTCTGGGACTTTGAGGCTCTGTACCTATCGACTCCCCAAAGTGTCCAAAGTACCCAACAGAGAACTTGTTGCTTTAAGGGTTTTTTTAGGTGTTTAGGGTTTAGGGTTTAGGGGTTTAGGGTTTAGGGTTTAGGGTTTGGGTCTTTAGGGTTCTACTGTCGATGATATAAATCCTGCATTACCCTAAGGACCCTAAGCTATGGGAAGTATGGTATATTAAGGACCCTAAACTATGGGAATTATGGTACCTTCCCAGACCCCCAGAAGGATCTAGAAAGTAGATCCCTTAAGGAGGTTCCTATAAAGTACCCTTTAGTAGTTAGGGTCCCAAATTTAGGGGATCTACTTTTTAGATCCTCCCGGGGGTTTGGGTTAAGGACCCTAGGAATTCTGGTGTATTCCTTCTTACGGGGTAATGCAGGATTGATATCATCAGCCGTAGGACCCCTATGGACCTGACACAGTCAATCAGCTTTCATTACGTGGCTTTGTAGTGGTTTATGGTTCAGTGTTGAGGGTTGAGGGGATCCCCGAAACATTCCTAGGCGCAGGAGGGGGGTTACTCAACATGCCTACTTTTCCTCAAGGGCCTCAAGAGGGAGGAGTCCCACTCCTACTTGTCCAGTATCCTGGGGAACTAAAGGTTAACTTTTTGGAATATATTGGGATTATGATTATATAGGGGTATACTACCCCAATAAGGATAAAGGTTGCCTACCCTACAACTAGGTATTGTAGCGTCTGGTGCAGGAGGGGGTGGGATCACGGGTCTACCTGAACCCGAAGAACCCTGAAGGTTTGAATCCTAAAGCCCTAATCCCTCAAATCCTAACCCCAAAACCCTAAACTAAGAGTGTAATCAGAGGCCCGAAACCCTAAACTAAGGGTGTAATCAGAGTTTAAGGTTCAGGGCCTTACTGCAAGACTATTACAAAAGGTATTGCATTGAACCCTGTGTCAACCGACTCAGCACCCAAATTCTTTGCCAATGCCAGAAAAAGTTATCACATAAACATGTAAAGTAGATTTCCTTACATACCCTTTCTATAGTCTCGTAAAGCCCCTATAAAACCCCAAGGGTCCCTTTAAGGGTCCCTCCTTTTGTCCCTTGATAAAGTAGATTTCCGCACATACTGGATGTGGGTGGTTGTCAAAATTAGGGTCCCTTTTTGGGTCCTTATTTAATACGGCACCCAAAAGGGACCATAATTTTGACAACTACCCATATGGGGATCTCTGTGTTGCAGGCCGAGGATGAACTTAGACAAAAATTGAAATTCAGCCTTGTTCTCCGTGGTGTAGAGGGCCTTCAGAATACTACCCTAAACCCTAAACCCTAAACCTACAACCTACAGCATAAATTATATAAAGGAGCCCTAAGGAACAGCATTGCTAGTTATTCGGCCCCTTTCCCGACGAGACAGTCCAGATTGCTCTGAAAAGAGCCCAACGCCCGCCTCCAGAGCTCGCGCGCGCCAGCTCTGGGTGCTTTTGAGCCGAATTTGAGGATGAAAGTCTTAACGGTAAGGTTTAGGGTTTGGGGTTTAAGGTTCCTAAACCCTAAGCGATACGCCCTAAACCCAAGACC